AAAACTTGTCATCAAAGATAATTAAAGACATCTTACAATACATATTTCCCTTTTTTTAATTGAAATTCATGTTAAGTTCCAATTACAGCTTTTCCTCCACATAAAAAACTTTTTCTATATTAGGAAAATGTCATAAGGCTACTGATAATGAAAGGATTAGTTTGAAAGATTCACTTGATGCTCGCTCAGATATATAATCATTCCTTCAGTGCTAAGCTACACAAATATTTTTGTCTTTATGTACATAGGAAGTTGTTAAAGCCATGTTATAATTAGGTATTATATCTAGGGACGAAATTACTTCCTGATCTCCCGTTTTTTATTCATTGGTCCTGTTCTTGAATACAAACATCCATCTAACGTCGTTAACATTAACATTTCTAGGGATTGAGCAGCCTTCATGATCATTTAGAGTAAGGATTCCAAATATTCCTACGCAATTTGCAAAGATTTGTTTGCAAATAGAAGTGAAGGTTGTCAATTAACGGCTTCTTCAAATTGAAGTCTTGTCATGTATCTAACTTTTTCTCAAATGAGCTTTGTGGTAGGTAATGATGAGTGGAATGAGAGACTGCGGGCCATGTCGTTCCGGACCACCGAGGCTTTCTATTTTTCAAGCCTTAAAAGGGCGGGGGGGGGGGGGGGCAGAGTCCACCCGACCCCCTATCTTTTTATACCAAATAAAAAATTACCATTGTTTCTGACCTTTTAAAAAGCAATCAAGAAATCACATCAAGTAAAAGGTTTGAGAATCTCTGGTATATATTATTGGAATGAAATAAGTTTAGAGAGTTGAAATTAACAAATAAAAATGTAGGCCTATATCTCATGGACTACATTCATAACTGTTAAAAAAGTTGAGCAGAAAATACTTTAAAAAGATTAAAGATATGCAGGAAACATATATTGCCAGCTTGTCATCTGTATACAGCATTGAAATTCTGGATTTTGTGAGAACAAGTTATCCTGCAATATTCATAACGAATCACCCCAGAAACTTCTAAATATAAAACTTTCCATTCAGTGACTCATGCCATACTTGAAGATTAATATTTTCTCAGTGCCATTTCAATTATTGGCCCCTTGATTAATTCTTTTCAAGATCACTTCATAATTCAAGATTGAGTTTGATAAAACAGGTTTCATGCATAATCGGATTGCCTCAAGTTAAAGGGACAGATCAGAGAACTTCACATACCTCTCTTCTAATACATTATTTGCTCTTATTTAAAAAAATGCATAACATTCCAAGTAAAGTGGATACATTTTCAAACCTTTACTCACATAACAAGGCCATTTTTATTTACCAGGAAGCAGAATTAGTAATGTATGCAAGAAAAAAGTGAAACATTGACTCATAACGAAGAGGCAGAGTTCCCTACCACTACCCCCCACACACATTCTACTTTTAGTAAGTACTGCATCCTTCAGCCATTAATCCCCAGAGTCACTTTAATAACTCACCATATTTTTTTTCTTCACTCTTCTCTTTGGACTAGTATTGCACAATCTGATTAACCTAGAATGTGAATTGATTTGATTTCATATATTAAAGCCACATTGCAGGTTTCATAAAAGTTTTGTTTTAAATCACTGCCAGTCTCTATTTAGATATTCTAATGGCACTGTGGCAACCTTCAAAGTGCTCTGAAGCCACTCTAACCTAAAGAGTCCTAGTGCCCTTTCCCCCAGCACCCTCCTCCAAAGTATTCTGAAGCTCCTTCCACCACCCAAAAGTGTTCTAGAACCCCTCCCTCCAACCTACCCACCCCCACACCATGGGCAAGATACACAATTGTATAGTCTCTACACTGTGACGTACTGATCTTTGCCTGATATACCAATGCATGAAGAGAGAATATGACATATTAATATGTTTCATGATAATTTTCTTAGTGAGAATAATACTCTTTCTTAGTATTGCATTAACCATCATCCACTTCAGTCCCAGAAAATGATTTAAGTTATACATGCATATCTCTCTCTACAAATTGTAAATGAAAATGCTTGTAGGTACTTATTGCAGTCAGCTGTGTGTACCTCAAAACCTTTCAATTTTGTCTGAATGACATATACATGGCCATTCATTTCTGACATTTCGAAGCAGGAGTCAAGGGCAACTGGTTCCCTGTGAAAACAAAGTCATGATGCTGGTGACATTGTAACACCTCGTTGGTCCTTAACAAATATATACAGTCAATACTCCAGTTGAATAGGAAGGTAAATACAATTTGAGTAATCTTTCTTGTGCATTATTTACTCGGGCTTCAGTCTTAGCAACCTTGATGCTTTGTGCCTTTTAAGGTTGACTTTTTATTCTTTTTCTTTCATTGTCTGACTTTTTTGGTTAAGTCAGAGAAGGTATGGCAATTTGTTATCTTGCTGTGATTTTGGCTGATACATATAGCTTCACTTTATTCCTGGAAAAGAGTTCTTGTAAAGGATGGTTTATAAATGTGTGATATTTAATAGCATTTGATAGTCTTAAAATAGTAATATGATTGATCTACATTCAAAATAGAAATGTTGTTTTACTTGTTTTAATGGATGTCTGTAAAGAAACACTTGTAAATTTGTGAATATGGCATATATTGCAGTATTTCGTTTATTTGAAGCTGGAGCAAAATTGGTATTTCAGGACAGCCCAAAGAATTATTTGTATTTTATTACATTCAAATGAGGTTTCTTGGCTTTGTTAACTTACTTGTATATGTCCCCGATGTTTCAGGCAGCGTGCTTTAGCCTTTTACCATATATGATTCTACTTTAGTTGATCACTCTTGGTGTAGTTAAGAGAGAGTTCATAGGCATAGAAGATCAAATAGAACATGAACATTCCTAGGTAATGTGGGGCATCGTCAACAGGAAACCCTGCAATCTGGAATGCTGCTCATGTGTGGAAATAGCACACCACATTGGGGTAATCATCTTATATAGTAGTAGGGAGAGCTCCAACCCCAACTAACCAACTTCAAAGCCACAAAGCATTCTCAACCTTATCTAGCAGTAGATACATTTTTAATATTGACCCCACACAAACCTCAAATTCTATATTTAGGGATTTTTACATTCCCCACGTGTTTGTTGACTCCTAATCTAAATGGTCTGTGGGCTAATTTTATAACAAGTGGTACAAAAATGCATCCCGATGGTTCAAAGGGGTTTTAAAAGAAATTCCTTTCAACCATTAGGATATTTTCAGAGGGTATTGTTAAGATGAGCCAGAACAGCAATAACTGTCCTTAGATTTTATACCACGTCATCAAGGCATCCACTCTATTACCTCCTTCACCCTTCATTCCACCACCCCTCTACCACCCCTCCACCACCCCTCTACCACCCGTCTAACACCCCTCCACCACTCCTCTCTACTTCTCCCTCCTAACATTAACCCTCCATCACTATCAAGAACTGGGACAACACAATAGAGACATCAGCCCTCTCATCAGATTCATCACTTTACTTCCAGTCTTCAAGAGAAATATCCAAGATCATTTGTCAGAATTAACGTTGGCATCCATCAAGAGATACGCAGCTTCTTTCCTAAGCCTTTCCATCTACGGTTACCCCTGCGCTCTCCATCTTTACAATAAGGCTTTTTTCGAACGTGCAACTTGCGTCAAGAAGTTTGTGAGGCGTTCTCTAATCTGATGTATTTTCAGATCTTCTATGTATATAACAGACTTTGCAGATGTCTCGGTTTAAAAGACTTATCAAATGAACTTAAGATGTACTTTAAGGTTGGGAGGGGGCAACAATGGCCAAGATGTATGTCTGTGACCTTTAAAAATGTTGAGGAGAACATTTAAAAGCTTCTTGATGTAGTTCACATGACTTTGGAGGGTAGCTTGTTGCTTGGACTTACAGTAGACACATTTGGTTTCAAAATTATTTTGTGAAGTCTCAAGTGCAACCACTGTGTTTATTTGTCCTTGAATGCAATCTGTTGATTCCATAGCTTGATTTAACTTCTTGGGTTCAAAGATTTGGGAAGCTTTCTAAAATGATACTTTTCCTTTGTGAAATATATTACAGATTTGGGGAAAAGGTGATTATTTAATTCATGTAGTATCAGTGTACTTGTATTGTATATAGTATCAAAAGAATGCATATTGAGATGACATTACATAAACATACAGAAGCAGAGAATAAATATGATACAAATATTATTTAAATGAACATTGACTACAACCTAAGATTTTGCAAAAGATTTCTTAACATCCTACCAAGATGTATGCTTTGCCTTGGATGAAACATATTTTTTGTTCACAGGTACCCACTGAATGTGAAGTTCCTTTTCATACTTCCAAATGTTCAGCTGATTATGGACATTTATGTTATTGCCAGATGTGTAGTTCAAATCTGGTACCCATAGCCTCAAGGCTATAAATCCACTCCTTGTTATTTATCTAAACCTGATAATGCATGGGTTTCATGCCCTTTTTACTCCTGTATTGCACATATGCTTCTTGTTAAATTACTGACAGAGTTCAATGACCTCCTATCATACAGGTTACTCTGCTGTCCTGTGCATATATCATGCTATCATGTGAAACTTTGCTCTTTTTGAATCGTCGAAAAAGGATTTCATGCATTTTCAAAATACGTTTTTTTTCAACTTCATAATTTCAATTTCATAATGAATTTTAAGCAGAGGTAAATGTGTCATGATTGAATGGAATATATTCTTGGAAACTTTTCCATCTGCTGCCTGAAATAGAAAAAGAGAATTTTTTCTTCATTTTCATGTGCTTTATTAGTTACTTATAACTGAAAAAGTACTCTGTAATGACGGTTTGTTTTAAAGCCCTTAATTTGCTCACAAGAATCATGCGATTCTAGCTCTCGAGGCACATTAAGCTTATAAGAAAAAAAAAATTACTAGGGAAAAGTTAAGTTACTTCATTTTCAGGTTGCGGTACAGAATTATTATACACTTTAACAAGAGTTTGGTTAATATTAGGATCAATGATTCAAAACTTTTAAATTTCAAATTTGTTCTCTCTCTCTCTTTTCATGACAGCATGGTCTGATCAGAACAAAGGATGAAGACTTCATGATCCAGCCCCTTCCTCAGCACTTGATACCGGCCGACCATGACTCGCCTGTAGTCCCACATGCAGTGTACAGGCGTTCAGTAAACACGTCAACAATAAAGTTTGCAGAGAAGAAGGGACATCATAGGGAAAGGCTCCGAGAACATCATTCCAATTCAACCAAACAGCACTATTGTGGGAGGAGAAAGAAATGTAAGTAAAAATGATTTTATTTTTTCAAGAGTTTTAAATTCAACCTGTCAGAGCCTACTAATTCATCAATTTGTTAAGCTTTGCGAAAGTGATTGTAAAAGTTTGATAACCATAGTCACTGACAGAAGTCAACGAAAATCAACTTTTTTTACATGGTGCTTATGTCTCTCAGATTTGTATTCATTTTGTAGGCTGTGGACAAGGGGATGAGTATCTGTTGTTTGTTAATCACAAAGTTGGAATCTTGATAACGATCATCAACCCCAGTTGGTCTTTCTGGCTCTCGAAAGAGTCGTTTTTAAAGACGACCCTTCTTGTTTCCCACAAGTATCTGCTCCGTTAATAGAGCGCATCTCCTGTATGACCGTACAAAGGCGGCTGAATTAACCCGTTGGCTACTGAATTAATTAATTCCCATAGGCTAAGCACAGGGACCACCAGGTTCCAGTAAGCAATGGGTTAACTAGAAATCATGGATAGCTTTGAAGAAGAAAAAAAGAGCGCTCTTATACAGATGACTTCATCTACAGACTGCGGGTCTAGCTAGGGTCTGGACACTCGGTGTCATTTGAAAGGAATCGTAGTCAAATCCAGAGCCTTGGTTGAACGGTCTGATACTTCCTACCAAGCACTTTACTGGTACCCGATTTTATGCCTGCTTTCTTGTCCCCTCCCATGAGAAAAGTTTTGTTTTAGACCAAATGAAAAGATGCTTTAGAACCTTGTGGTTGTCATAGAAGAATGGCTTTAATTGGACCCCTTCATGGAGTATTGGACAATTATTATATTTGAAAGGGGTTTGCCATGCATATTGATATTCAATTATGACGTTGATTTGGAGTCTGGGTATTGGTTTGAAAGACAGAAAAGAGAAGTTCCGGTAATTTTTTGTTTTATAAAAAATTGTCCAAACCATTATGGATTTTTCTTTATTTGATGCTTCTAGTAGAGCCAAAGAGGATTAAAACTTCAATAAGCTGTCTCGAACTTCAGACTATGATTTTAGAATCAAAAGAAAAAGTTGTTTTTCATAAATAGTAATAAAAAAAATGGCAGGAAATATATATACAAGCAGGGCTTATTTGTACTGAATGTGGAATATATAGTTACTGTATATTGATTGCAATATTTAAAAATATTGAAAAAGAAGAGGCACCTATATTTTTAACAAGATATACATGTATATATATATATATATAGACTGTTTGCTGGTGGAATATTATCATTGTACTAGAATTGCAATGTTGAAAAGATGATATGTAACAATTTTTGTTACATTTCATTATTCTCACTTAATAGATTTGTTGTGGTATCTGGTAATATAGCTAGACATGGACTCTGTCAAACTTGTGCACTTACATTTCATACGTATGCACGATCACAGCATTGTACTATTATTTTCATATTGAATGAAGAGACACAATGGATAGTAGGAATGGTGAAGGCTAACTGGGGATGTGGTTTTAAACATAGACACGCTCCTGTAACTCTTGCTCCCCATGAATTGGCTTGATAATATCTTCACGTTCTTCACAGAGACAACAGAACAACAACAGTGCCACCAAGGGGAGGGGAAGCACCTGTGTTGCGGTCACGAACTGGGGGGGGGGGGGTGGGGGGTGTGTATGCTCATCTGCAAATATATCATGTTAAATGCTTTGTGTTTAAGTTGGAGAACATTGTATTTCTTAAATCAGGTATACATGTGAAGAGATTTGTTAGGATCAAGATGGGAGGGTCTTTAGCATGGTTGGTACACCATGTGCAGCGAAGCCTTGGAAGTGGGAAGATTAGAACGTCGCCAAATCGTGATCCAATTTTAATGATGACTCTAAAAGGCGCTCACTTTAGAATTGGGATTTCTAAGACCTCATTATAGCATCTTTATTTCAAGGTTCATGAGAGAGAGTACCTACTTAGCTGTGATTAGCAAGGTGATTCAACCCCCCAAAAAGTAAACAGGAAGGATTTTATCGGTTATCAGGTTATGCAGAATTAATTCATGTTCATTGGATGAAACGATAACTGTCTGGGAAGATTGATATCTCTAGACTTTTATACAGCTTTAAGCTTCAGATGTTTTTAGAAACAAACTTTCTAGGTTTGTGAGACATTATTTGGAAAGAGATGACATGAACAGCCTGAAAATGTGGCATTGGTATGAAATGTTTTCCAGTAAGAAGAACATGTAACAATGAATTTAATGCAATCTGTGCCTTCCATATTGCTTGTTACACTACTGTTGTCCTCATTTCCATCCCACATCAAAATACAAGCTCGTTACAGGTGGCCTACAGCAAAATTTCTAAAAGAAACCATAAAAGTGACCGCTGACCAAGACCTTACTCTATCCTCCTATGAATCAATCAACCAATTTTCCAAATCATTTCAGTTAATCCCTGTATTCTTTGTCACATCCACATGTAAATCAGTGGCTAGATAACCAACAATTGGTCAAGTGAACTGACCCAATACGTTACACTTGCAAAGTTTATGATTTGTTTGAGAAATCTGACTTTACAATCTGGCTAATTTGAGTTGACCTCATACTGTCTGTAAGCATGCATTCCCCGCCCATCGTTCTAAGTGAACAGCCTTTGATAAACCTGTATGAAAGAATGTTAAAGTTATGATTATTGTACTTTGCGAGTAGAGTCAACAAATTACTTTTAAAGACACATGGCTAGCAAAATCTCATTTCATTCCTTGAAAACATCAATGCATTCTCACTTTGTAGTTTGTTGAAATCAGTGGTAGATGTCAAACTACTTTGTCTCCAAGTATTTGAAGTTAACAAACTTTTCTTGTTTGTTCTCAAAGCAACTCATACAAATGTGATTTCTTAGCTGCATATTTTGGCAAATTGATGGTACAGACAGGCTATTGTATCACTGACAGCTCCTCAATTTGAAGACAAGCAGCGCTAATCATGATTTTTACTACCCGGTATGTTCAAAAGGAACACCTACAATCTCTCTCATGTCATATTCCCTTATTATACCTACCTGAAACCCTTTTTGAAATCAACTTCTATCCTTCCGGAGGTATCTCAATATGCGCCTTTAATACCCTCAGAAGGAGAAAAGCACAAGGAACATCTAAGTTTTAAATTTGTTTGACCTCAACGCGAGTTGTCATTCACCATGACAATAGTGGCTTCAGCAATTTTCTCTGCTATAAGTGTGTTGTATTGTGACAAGTATTTGTGTTCTCTATATACCTATCTGACCTATCATTCACGTTTGTAATGACTAAATGAGCAGTCCATCACTGCATAAAATCAAGCAGTGTCAGATTTAGGGTTACTGGCAACTTATCAGAAGCCAAATAAATGGTAGAGCTGATGTATAGCAGATTCATTACATTTTGGGAGACCATTGTGGCATTTTGTGGTTGTCATGATCTAGCATTCTGATGTCTAGGTTTGTGATACTTAAGAATGATTGATCAAGATTTTTCTGATGGCCTATAACAACATGCTGATGATAGCAATGGTTAAGAATGTAGTTAGACTTAAAAGTATTTGTAAAGAGCTCATATGTGCTACTTGAGCATTGGAGAGAATGTGTCGGTTCAGATTTTGTATTCTTACAGCCACAAAGGCATTGTAAAGTATGTGTTAATATATATCATAAACACCCTTCTGCCTCCAAACAGATTATTTGGTTTATTGTAAAGGTATATCAAAACAGCTTTAAAAAAAAAAAGGATAATAGGAGGCATTTGGTATTAACTAGAAAATGAATTTTATAGTCCATTAACTTGTCATCTTCAGTAGATAACTCATTCAAGAACAAAATAATTGTATTTTTGCAAACATGGTTACATAAACTTAAGTATAGGAGCACAGAGAGACTCTGCTTAAATATTAATATTTTTATCCTCTTTCAACTAAGGTTTATTTCACATATAAATTTTCATTGAACTCGTAAAACAACTTAGTTGATTGTGTGATCCACAGTCACTATGCACAATAATGACTTTGATTTTCCATCTGCAAGTGAAAAATTAGCCAATCGCTGATACAATGAATCTAATTTCGGAATTCATTTTTTTCATTTGTCAATTTTTTGTGAATTTAGACCTGACTACTACCTTTAAGGAGCCTGTTATTTTTTGTTTGTGTTGATCTCCAAAATAACAAATACCTGGACAAACACAAACAACTATTTGTCTATTCTGTCTATCTGTCACTGCCTTTCCACACTCCATTTCATTACAAATTTCTTTCGTTTTGACAACCTGAAGTGGGGGCAAAAGTATATTCACTTGATAAATGACTATTTCAGCAGAATGATGGTGTGGAAACCTGTCAAAGGCATTTTCTTCTGGACATTTTTCTTGAAGTTGGAGGAAACAATTATCCCCCATGGATTAATAATCATTCAGGGGGTTATACCTGAGAGAACAATTGTTTTAGAGGTTAGCAGCAGCTGCACGATTTAAGAGTAAAACTGCATTTTTTCCTTTTCCCCTGGAGACATCATAAATAAATGAAAATTGTAATATTTGATGTATCCCTTGCGTAGTAGCACTTCCGCTAAAGACTTTTGTTTTTTTGTTGTATATACGTAGTATGAATTTATTGCTGCAGGTGTATGAGTATGGTGTCCGTGAACTGTCTGTAGGATTATCAATCAAACCTGGGAGCTAGCGATAAACTAGGATGATTGATAAAAATATATATCTTGCTCGTTTTAACTGTGAAATTGTATTTTCTACTCTTTCTTTTTTTGAAGAGTGAAGAGTATTGATGAAAGTGTTGCTTTGGGTAAAAATAACTGAACGTCAACTTCATTTACATTGATCATTCTTGAGTATTCTGTATGACGGCATTGACAGTTGTTGATGAGGACTTTCCTATATTGTCTGATATGTTTCAATTCCATGAATTTTAAGTTTCCCTGTATCCAGGATCCCTGGTTATATGTCCTTTCAATAACTTTTTGCTTGTATGCTTTTCTACTACTCTTTAGTCTGAATTAACGTTTCTCTGTAAG